GTAGAAAAGGATTTAAGGTAGGTTTCGCATAAATATCCAATCGAAAAGTGACTTGAATTTAACTTTTTTATTGGCTGATTTGGTCCAATCAGGGATTGAGAATGATTAAGCACCTATTTGCATAAAAGACCTACAAAAACGGCCAGCTGTGCTGTTAAGCGTCCACTCTGGGGTGTGTTCTTACTCCTTCGTTTTGTTGCAATGCCTGATCCAGCTAAGTCCGCTCCCGCTCCAAAGAAGGGGTCCAAGAAGGCGGTAACCAAGGCGCAGAAGAAGGATGGAAAGAAGCGCAAGCGCAGCCGCAAGGAGAGCTACTCTGTGTACGTTTACAAGGTGCTGAAGCAGGTCCACCCTGACACCGGCATCTCCTCCAAAGCCATGGGGATCATGAATTCCTTCGTCAACGACATCTTCGAGCGCATCGCGAGTGAGGCTTCCCGCCTGGCGCATTACAACAAGCGTTCCACCATCACCTCCAGGGAGATTCAGACGGCGGTGCGCCTGCTGCTGCCTGGGGAGTTGGCCAAGCATGCCGTGTCCGAGGGCACTAAGGCCGTCACCAAGTACACCAGCTCCAAGTAAATGGACGCATGTTCAAACCCAAAGGCTCTTTTCAGAGCCACTTAACAATTTCAATTAAGAGTTTTAATGCTGGGTGCTGCTGTATTCTACGGGAGAAGTGTGGCCAATACAGGTAAAATTCACATGCATTGCCAGTTTATCCTGTGCCTCTGTTAAACACTAAGACTTTATAGCTTATTTGTCTTTATAAAGGTGGTGTATAACTACATTGCCCAGGCTACTGGTGTTAAACTCAAGCAAGTTTTCCCACCTCAGCCTTGCCTTGTATTGCTGAGCAGATAATTTGACACAGCAGGAAAAGTGGACATTCTAGTTTAGGAACCAAAAATTAAGTTTGCAACCTAGATGCAATCAACTTGGAGCAATACGTCCAGTCTGGAGCTGGAAAATTTGAGTATTCGAGATGACTTGAAAATACATTTAGCGCCTATAATAGTGAACCCACTCTAGATAGCATAATGTGATCTTTGTGGGAGCCTCCTGGAATTTAATGTCAACTGGGATATTATAGTTTACCAAGTACCTGAGAAAAATTGAAATTTCTTAATAGATAAGGATTAGATGACAAACTATGAAAATGGAAAAAAAAAAATGCCATGGAATAAAGCTTTAGTTATTTGGCAAGTAATATGAGGGGTTTTAGGTGTCTTTGAAAAAATTTAGATTTGTAAGACAAAGTAGAGCAGAGAATATAAGTACTAAAAGGCCTGGCAACAATGTGTCTTTGTTTTTAGGTAATGTTGGTTGGCGGTCAGCAAAAAGGCCAGGCTCAGGGAGTCTTAACTTGAAAACGCTAACAGGAATCAGCAAAACCATGTACACAACTTCTGCTGTGGATTTTTTAAATACCAAGATTACCAACTGTAATGGTAGGGTAATACAGACTCAAACCTCTACATTCCTCCACCCTCATGGGCATTTATCTTGAATCATAAAATGTAGGGGTAGCAGGAGGTAAGTGAAGAGTATTTTAAGAACCTAGGTCTGAGATGTACCTTCAATTTTTCCTCAAAATATCTGGTGGATGGACTAGTACTTTGAGTTTATTCATTTACTGAGAACCTATTAAATTACAGAAAATACTTAGGAAAGAGCAGTGAGAAAGATAGAAACTATCCCTGTCCTTTACCTGGATTGAAATCTAAAGTGGATATTTATACAATAAACTCACAAACTAAAGAAAGAAACATAAGTCTGAAGGTCATGTTTTTCTTTTAACAGGCTTTTGATGGGACTGAATTTAAATTGCCAAAAGCTGAATTAACATAATCTTGAAAACTTGCAAGTTCCTGGAGGCAGTTCTGGAGGGAGGGTGGAGCAAAAGAGATGGCAGAAGAAGAGCCAGCAGCATGGAATTCAAAAGTAGATAGTCTTGCCTCCTCCCTAGTGGCCAGTGAGGAGCGGTGGGGAGAGAGCAAGAGAGCCATGACAGAGGAAGGGAGAGAGCACAGAGTTCAAGTCTATATTGATGGAACTATGGTTACAAATAGGGGCTACCCGTTTATAGTCTCATCTGGCCATGTCTCATCAATGGTTTACAAGGATTTCATAGATTTGCTTTACTAAAATGTATGACCTCACTGAAATATAGAATACTATAAGACAGCAAATATTGTATATTTATGCAAATAATTTTTTCATAAAAGGTTTTTTTAATGTCCACCTGTGTGAGTTAGTATATGATACCTCTGGAAGTAACAACTTAAAATAGTTACTAGTTAATGAAAATGAAAGTCTACTTTTCCCTCACACAAACCTAATACAGCTCAGACATGGGAGTTCCGATATCCTTAGAAATTCCCTCTGTCGGGGCCGGGCACGGTGGTTCACGCCTGTAATCCCAGCACTTTGGGAGGCAGAGGCAGGCGGAGCACGAGGTCAGGAGACCATGCTGGCTACCACAGTAAAACCCTGTCTCTACTAAAAATACAAACAACTAGCTGGGCGTGGTGGCTGGCGCCTGTAGTCCCAGCTACTCGGGAGGCCAAGGCAGGAGAATGACTTGAACCCCGGAGGCGGAGCTTGCAGTGAGCCGAGATCTCACTACTGCACTCCAGCCTGGGCTACAGAGAGAGACTCCATCTAAAAAAAAAAAAAAAATTATCTCTCTCTCTCTCTCTCTATATATATATATATCTCATACATACATATATACATAAAATGTGTTTTTCCTCTATATATAAATGTAACGTGTTTCTTATTATTTGAAATACTCTCGAATATATTCTGCTATTGAATTCTCCTATGGAGTACCAGCCCAACAAATGGGACAGATGAAATTCATAGGAAGTGTTAAGTATTACCTATACAAGAAGTCTGTGAAATGTAGACAAAAATCAAAGCCTATATTCATAATCAATCATAAATGAGTAGCCTGTGAGACGTGTTAGACATAGAGAAAGTCACAGGGCTTGTGTGTGTGCTACTCAAGAGACAGGAATAGATGAAAGAAACAAAAACTTTTGGATATTTGAGAGACACCACATATTTATAAAGTACTCAATATTTATGGGATCATAAATTGACTGCCCACTGTTAACACCAGTTTTGGCTGGCCTCATTGGCCCTCTACAGACAGCATGCATATAAAAGGCATGCTGGTCAGCATACCACTATTGAGCAATATAGGTGGCTGTATACCAATAGAGCAAGCGTGTGTTGGCTCCACATAATTTGCATCTGCTGACTCCTTTGCTTATCATGAACTCTGTTTCTCGAAATCACCCTCTCAGTGGGCAAAATATGCAAGAGGGAGAGAGAAACCTCACACATATGACATGCATAACCAAGGATTCAGGTAGTGAGACTGCCATTTACAACCTATCTGAAATGTGTTCACTTGCCAAAGCTCTGCTTGTTTCTTGCTACATGTTTCAAATTGATTCAATAAAATTAAGCCACGGAGCTCAGGAAACTTATATTGGGCTATGAGACTTTCTATGCACAGCCTCTGGAACAGCCTGCCTGGTAGTGTATTTGGAGGCTATCGTTGCGTTAAAGTAGTTTTCTCCATGACATTGTAATTTTGTCTTTCTGAATATATCACTGTTCCAGCTCCAGCTATCATGTTTACATTTAATCCTAAAGGAAGGGAAGGCCTGTGCAGTGGCTCACGCCTGTAATCCCAGCACTATGGGAGGCTGAGGTGGGCGGATCACCTGTCAGGACTTGGAGACCCGCCTTGGCCAACATGGTGAAACCCCATCTCTACTAAAAACACAAAAATTAGCTGGGCATGATGGCCTGCACCAATTATCCCAGCTACTCGGGAAGCTGAGGCCGAAGAATCACTTGAACCTGGGAGGTGCAGGTTGCAGTGAGCCAAGATTGCACCACTGCACTCCAGCCTGGGTGACAGAGTGAGAGACCCTGTCTAAAACAAAAAAAAAAAAAAAAGGAAACGTTGGCAAGAATTACTTCAGTTAGGAAGATAAGAAAACAATGCATCTCTAACTAGAATCGAATGTTCATTTTAACATGAACAGACGGCACTGACTTCAAATGTAGCTGTTTGCAATCAGCATAGGACTTGGTAAATCAGAAAAACACCTTGAAAAATGAAGTCAGGACTACATGGTCAGACTCAATGCCTAAAGTGAATGAGGTTGGGCTGAGTTTGAAGTCCAATGGCATTCTGCTTTTTTGTTTTGTTTTTTGAGACGCGGTCTCACTCTGTCACCCAGGCTGGAGTACAGAGGTGTGATCACAGCTCACTGCGGCTTCAACATCTCTGGATTCAGGTGATCCCACCTCAGCCTCCCAAGTAGCTAGGACCGCAGGCACACACCTACATGCCCAGCACATTTTAAAATATTTTTTGTAGAGACGGTGGTTTGCCATGTTGCCCAGGCTGGTCTCAAACTCTCGGGCTCAAGTGATCCACCTGCCTTGGCCTTCCAAACCGCTAGGATTACAGGCATGAGCTACTGTGTCTGGCTATGCTATTATAAATATCCATTCTAGTCAGCAATCAGGTACAGAAGAAGCTCCAATGCTACCTGCCTTAGTCCTGTCCTCTATCTTCCCGGATTTTCTCAACTCAGCATTGGAGACATACCACCTATTGGTGTCAATGTTCTTTATGCATTGACTCCCCCGACCCCCACCAATATGATTCAACCTTGCCTTTTGCTTGCTTTATTTATTTATTTATTTATTTATTTATTTATTCTTAGATGGACTTTCACTCTTGTTGCCCAGGCTGGAGTGCAATGGCATAATGTTGGCTCACTGAAACCTTTGCCTCCAGGGTTCAAGTGATTATCCTGCCTCAGCCTCCCGAGTAGCTGGGATTACAGGCGTGCACCACCACACCCGGCTAATTTTGCATTTTTAGTAGAGACGAGGTTTCTCCATGTTGATCAGGATGGTCTCAAACTCTCGACCTCAGGTGATCCGCCCACCTCGGCCTCCCAAAGTCCTGGGATTAAAGGCGTGAGCCACCATGCCTGGCCACCTTTTGCTTTAAAACCTCAGCTTTCTCATTTCAAGGTAGTCTGCCTTGTTCCTCAAAGCCTTTCACATCTGAAATGCCCACATTACTTGAATCAAACCACAAAGGTGAACAACACATGGTCCTTATTATCTAGGACAGGAAACATTGTCCCATGGAGAAAATAATGTATACAACTTATCAAACAAAAATAACCAAAAGAGTCAGAATATATTTTTATTGTTTTTATTTAAGCCCTTCTTGCACACTGAAGAATATAAAGAATTTATTCAAGCACAAAACATAAGGATGGACCACCTGGAAACACCAAATCCAAAGTAATAGAGATATAATTCTGAAATAGGGAAGTTCAGATTTCATTTATATAGGCAGAGTTAGAGGAGCTTATAGCAAGGCTCTGCACAACTTCGGGAGAATAGCTGAAGGCAGCTGTTAACCTTGAGGCAGAGAGTGAGGAGTATGTGCAAGGGAGCAAGGGGAAATTATCTTGATCAGGCTTGTTTGTTTGAAGTTATCCTGAAATTCACCTTTGAACATCCATGTGTGTGACATTCCCTGAAAGGGGAACAATAAATGTTAATTACCTACAGACTGTGTTTGCCCCAGGCTTTCAGCATTCTGCCTGCACTGAATAAAAGCAAGCAGCTCCAGCTTCTTGGGGCTGCACTTTGGCCACTTGAGCCAGGTGTCTCCTAGCTGCTCTTACACACTGCATACCTGTGTGTGAGTACTCTTTCCATCCGTCAGTCAGCCAGTCAGTCAGTCAGGGTCTGCGGAACAGATCTGGCAGGTGGTGCCCAGTGTGAGGAACACTGCAACGGATCTGGACCAAACCCTCAAAAATTAATGTGAAGTGACTGCTCTGTAAGTAATTGGTCCCCGCTGGGGATTTCCAAGTTCAAGGGGATTCTCAAGCTAGGGTTTCATCATGGGACAACAGTTGTCAGCTCAACAGCAACAGTATGTAAAAGTATTGAAACAGCTGCTTAAAGCTAGCAGAACCTTGGTTTCGGAGCCTCAATTAAGGGATGTAATGCAAACTGTTGTATTCCATAGCCCATGATTCCCAGGAGAAGGCACACTAGACCTAGGGCTCTGGAAGCAATTGGGAAGAAATCTTAAACAACATCAGGTACAAGGGCAACAGGTCCCAGTAACATCTTTAATGTTATGTGCCTTGGTTAGGGCTGCTTTGGTCCTGCTCTACACAGAAGAGCCTAAAAAAGAAGGGGAGGAAGAACCATCATCTACCTTACTGCCTCCTCCTCCTCCTTCAGCCCCGCCATTACCCGGGTAAAGATACCAAAGAGGAGACGGAGGTGTTTCCTAAGTCTCCTCCCCCAATAAATTGGGAAGAAGACAAGAGATATACTACAGTTATGGGACCCCGTCTTAGGCAAGCAGCATTAGAAGGGGAGCTCCTGGCTTGTCCCGTGGTGCAAGATCAACAGGCCAGTTGGGTACAGAAGCCTATTACTTCCAACACTTTTAAGGAAATAAGGAAAAGCATTAGAGAAAATGGACCTGCTAGCCCATTCACAAGAGGATAATTGAGGCTATAACAGATAACTACCATATTGACTCCATGGGACTGGTCAGTGCAAGCTAAAACAACTTTAGAGGCCAGTCAATACCTCCTCCAGAGGGCAGAATATAATGAATTGTGCGAACAACAGGCTGACCAGAATCAATTGGCAGGACAGAACATAGCTGCTGTGCTCCAGGGGAGGGGTCTCTATATTAATATATAACAACAATTAAATTTTGTCCCTCAAGCCTATGCGCAACTGTCTTTGTGCACTCACGGGCCTAGGACCAAATTCCCAAAGGTGGAGTTCAACAGAGATCTTTTATAAATGTTCCACAAGGGCCTCAGGAGCCATTTGTTGAATTTATCAATCGGTTAACCCAGGCACTTAAGAGACAAATCAGTCATGCCAAGGCCGCTGATATCTTATTGTTGTAATTGGCCTATGAAAATGCTAATGTGGATTGCCAGCAAGCAATGCAAGCAGTCAGAGGGAAAGCAGCTACAGTAGGGAACTCATATGAGCATGTCAGCTGGTGGGGACTGAAACACACAAAGCCAGAATATTGGCTATGGCATTAAAGCCTCAAAAAGAAAAAGGGATAAAAATCCAAATTGTTTTCAATGAGAAAAGCCAGGTCATATGAAACAGGAATGCCCCAATAGTAAAGACCAAAGTAACTCAGGAAAAGAACCCCCTTCTATATAAGAACAAGCCATAGTGGAACGTGCCCACTCCACCCTTAAAAATGTGCTTAAAAAACAAAAAGGGAGAATACGAGTAAGGACCCTACAACACTACTAGCACAAGCCTTGTTTACCCTTAACTTCTTAAATTTAGCCTTACTTACCCTTAGCTTCCTAAATTTAAACAATAAATTTCAATCAGCCATAGAAAAGCACTTTGCAAAAACCTTTCAGAATATGAAACCTTTAGTTTTTATAGAAAGATCTACATAGTAACCTATGGTGCGGTCCAAATGATTTGTTAACGTGGGGAAAAGGATATGCTTGTGTTCACACTCCCTCAGGTCCTCTTTGGATTTCTGTGCGACACATCAAACCATACCATGGCGTGGCTGGAACCCAACCCGGTACCAAAAATAAAGGAAATGACCCTGCAGGACCCGCAGCCCCAGAACGATGCGGCTTCCACGGACAACAGAGGCCCTGGACATTATGCTGAAGAAGACAACTCAGGAAGCTGAGCGAATCCCGCTCCAGATACAAACATCATTCACTCCAGATAATCTGTTCCTTGCTATGCTCTTTGTTGTACATTGCAACACTCATAGGGTATTGGTTTTTCTCTCACTCTGCCTGCAACTCGTACCTGCTACACTCTATTAGGCCCATCTTCTAGATCCACCTTTCTTCTGCCCTGTTACTTGGGCAGACGCCCCCTTCCCAGTTTCTAACAACGTAACTGCTTTGGTAGGAGGGATTAACATACCCCTGGTGGGGTTCCTCAGTAACAGCCCTATAGAACAATGTGCAAAAACACCTCTCCTGGATAGACCCCCACTCCTGGGGGTAACTCTTTGATTGGAAAAGAATATTACATGATTATATTATATAATAATATAATATTACAATGATTATACTCATGCTTGTCTTATGTTATCTACTGCTTCTAGGATGCAAAGCTGCAACACAAGCTGGAACCGCTGCACTTGTCAAGCCTGTCATCGTACACATCTGTATTCTTCAATCAACAAAACTTGATGCAAAAAACAAAAGGGGGAGATATAGGAGATCAGTCAGAGTGGTAGGAGAAACTATAAGGAAAGGAGCAGACCTTCTGAAAGGTCAGAAGGCTGCTCTTACACACTGCCTACCTGTGTGTGAGTATTCCTTTCATACATCAGTCAGCCAGGGTGTGCAGGACAGACCCCGAAAAGCACAACAACAAAGGGGAGGTTAAATGTTTAACAAGGATCATTAATTAAGAAGCCAGGACCAGCCAAGGTGGCTCACACCTATAATCCCAGCATTTTGGGAGGCCGAGGTGGGTGTATCACGAGGTCAGGAGTTCAAGACCAGCCTGGCCAAGATGGTGAAACCGCATCTCTACTAAAAAATACAAAAATTAGCCGGGCATGGTGGCAGGCACCTGTAATCCCAGCTACTTACGAGGTTGAGGCAGGAGAATTGCTTGAACCCAAGCGGCAGAGGTTGCAGTGAGCCGAGATCATGCCACTGCACTCCAGTCGAGCTTGGCCAATAGAGTGAGACTCTGTCTCAAAAAAAAAAAAAAAAAGAAGGCAGAAGACTTTTCTCCCTAATGCCTAATGTTGCTTAATTCTAGACACTGTATAGAGCAAGAAAGAAAAGAACTCAAGTTATCTCATCTCTCTCAATCTTAATGTGTTTTGGGAATTCCAACAGCTGTTTTTTTTGTGTGTTTTTTCTTCTTAAGGAGATGAGGTCTCATTTTGTCACCCAGCCTGGAGTGCAGTGGCTCAATCATAGCTCACTGCAGCCTCCAACTCATGTCTCTAATGACTCTCCCACCTCAGCCTCCAGAGTAGGACAGGCTACAGGAATGCACCATCACATCAAATTTTATTTATTTTCACAAACTATAGCACAGCAATGGAATATGCTTAACATTAGGAGAGTTTTGAGACCTACTACCTGGGTTGAAATTTGTTACATCATTTATTAACTGGATGACTTTAGGCATTATGCAGAACCATTCAGCTTGTTTCCTCATTTATAAACCAGAAACAATAAATTTTTGTAATGATGAGGCAATTGCTCAAGCTTAGAGTTGGGTCTAACAAAGAATTCTGACTTTTATTTCACTTTTGTTTCTACCACTATGAAGAACAAAATGGGGGCTTCTGCACAGCAACTTCAGAAGATAAGCAGGTTTTCTGGAAATGGATTGAGAGCAAGAGATGACATCTAAAATCAAAGACACTGCTGGGGCTCAGAAACTGATATCCCAAAATATGGCACTATGACATCCTAAACTGAAGAAGCTACAAGGTCTCTGACCTTCTCCCCACCCCTCCTGTCTCTCAATTCTCTGTGTCTCCCAAAGCACAGGATGAAGTTGTTTTCAGAAGTTCCTTATCTGCCTAAAGTCCAAACCTGCCAAAGAATACAATTATCTTTAGTCTCTATCCTGAGTTTTCATTAAATGAACTAATACCACAGGAAGAAACACAAGCCTGTCAACAAGCCTAGACAGATTCTGTCACAACCCACTGCCTACTCTGCAGCCCTAACAGACATTGTCCCAGGCTCTTGCATGTTCTTCAAGGCCATTGAATTCCCCTAAAAGTCATTTATTATACCCCTAAAAACACTTCTCAAGCTCCCATTTCCCTAGGAAGTAGGATAAACATCTATGCCCAATTGCAATATTGGGTGATCACTCTATCCAACCCCCTCTGCAGTATACACGTTAATAAATTCATATGCTTTTTCTCTTATTAATTCTGGGCATTAATTTAACCTTTTTCTTCTTTTGGGCCCACGTTGAAACCTCTTTTTTCAACTTCTCTTCCAATTAGGTGTGGCCTTTTAGCTAAGTTCCTGCCAATGGAACATAAATACAAGTAAAGATTGACATTTCCAGGCCTAGGACATAACAACTTTCCACGAAGGATTTTTCCATCTTCTTTCCCTTTGCAGGGCAAATGTGGAAGCCACATTTAAGACCGCTAAGCCACAAAGACAGAGGGCATTTGGGTTCCAGAACTACTGCTGGAAGAAAGAGGGAACTGTTGATCTAGAATACCCTTTTTGAACCTCATATCCACAGAAAATAAACTTGTATTTATCTTAACTAGTATGCTCTGCACCAAAGGGTCCAGATTCTTAATTTCTAAAAGGAAATGCATTCACTTGTTGCTGGATGAATCTTCAAGTCAAAACACTTCATCTGTAAAAGAAACATAAGATTTCATTGAGCGAAACAAAGCAAAATGTGGACTTCTTGAGAGTTAACCAGAGGAGAGGAAGCTATATTCACCTCTATCAGCAACAGAACTTCCGTCCACAGCCTAGTGATCTTTCAATGTGGATGTGACCATGAGGATGAGGTAGTTTCATTGGATATGTTGCCTCTTGGATCCTCAATTAGAAAAGCATAAGGAGGGCTGGATGCTGTGACTCACACCAGTAATTGCAGCACTTTGGGATGCTGAGGCATGAGGATCACTTGAGCCCAGGAGTTCAAGACCAGCCTGGGTAATATAGTGAGACCTCATCTCTATAATAGAAAAAAAATTAAACAAAATCAGTAAGGAGGCCAGTGGTCATGACTCATGCCTGTAATCCAACACTTTGGGAGACAGAGGTGGGGAAGACTGCTTGAGGCAAGGAGTTCGAGACTGCAGTGAGCTAGGATCACACCACTGCAGTCCAGCCTGGATAACAGAGTGAGACTGTCTCAAAAAAAAGAAAGAAAGAAAGAGAAAGAAAAGAGAAAAGAAAAGTTCAAGGAGAAAATACAGACTCTATGATATTGACATTGTTCCCCAAAAGCATCACAGAATAATCTGGGTAAATTTTGTAGGACCCCAGACACGTCTTTTTTCCTCTAACTGCACTTACCAAAAAAGTGAAAGTAATTGATAGTCCACTATTATCAGTTATAATCATAAATAAAATCCCTGGATCTCATATTGGACAATTAGCCTCACTCAATATGAAGGATTAAGAAGAAATGTGATCTCTTAATTTTTTATCAAGGTTTATCTAGGGCTCAAAATCGGTAGTTGGGAACATGTTTCATCTTCATAATTTAATTTTGTTTTATTAATTATGGATTCAGCCATCATATTATAACCATTATAGAAATTTTAATGTGGAGTTCTGTTGCCAGTAGGAGCAGTTTTCTTTGTACTTGGGAGCTCATCCATAGATATCTAGTATAATGAAATCTCAGAAAATGTTACAGCATATAAAGCCTTTTTATAAAGACTACATTGGATTCTTTCATGTGAAAAGTAAAATGATAGCAATTTTGCAGATCTCTTATTTTGTATTTTAAATAAATTATCATATAATAATACTCTTTCCTTAACTACTGGTGTCCTTGAATAGGGTGAGCAGTCCTCCATGGGGTTAGCACTCATTGCTCATCTTTTCCTGCCCCTGCCTCTTGGTTCAGTCTTAACTGAATGTCCTTGGGTATCTGGAACACTTTTGAAAAATGAAAATGTATGAATCAGGCCGGGTGCAGTGGCTCATGCCTGTAATCCCAGCACGTTGGGAGGCCGAGGCCGGCAGATCACCTGAGGTCAGGAGTTCAAGACCAGCCTGGCCAACCTGGCGAAACTCCATCTCTACTAAAAAATACAAAACTTAGCCAGGTGTGCAGGCGCCTGTATTCCCAGCTACTTGGGAGGCTGAGGCATGCAGCAATGCTTGAACCTGGGAAGCGAAGGTTACAGTGGGCCGAGATGGCGCCACTGCACTCCAGCCTGGGCAACAGAGTGAGACTGTGTCCCAAAAAAAAAACAAAAAAACAAAAAACAAAAGAAAACGGTTGGGTATGGTGTCTCACTCCTGTAATCCCAGCACTTTGGGAGGCTGAGGTGGGTGGATCACCTGAGGTCAGGAGTTGGTAACAAGCCTGACTAACATGGCAAAACCCCATCTCAACTAAAGATACAAAAATTAGCCGGACGTTGTGGCACATGCCTGTAATCCCAGCTACTCAGGAGTCTCAGGCAGGAGAATCACTTGAACCCGGGAGGCGGAGGTTGCAGTGAGCTGAGATTGCGCCATTGCACTGCAGCCTGGGTAACAAGAACAAAACTCCGTCTCAAAATAAAAAAAAAGTATAAATCAGTACTGAGTTACCTGGAAATTCCAGCTTAAGAAAAACAAAGACCCTGGTTTTATGTAGTTGGCTATCAGAATAATGCCCATAGCCCAAATATGCACCCAACTCAGGATCCATGAATCAATGTTTCGTCTCTCTGGTATGATCTTCCTACAGATGTATATAGAACTCACTCTCTTCTCTGCTAAGTCTTGTCAGGACCAAGAAAAATCTTCCCCTTCACCCTCTGAAGTTTTTCTCAAATATCAACTAACAAAAAACAGATTAATAGGAGAGAAAGGGAAACAAGTTTATTAACATGCATGAGGGAGACCACAGAGTAATTACCCCAACCCCAGCAGTGGGGTACAGAATCTTAAATGCCATCTTAAGGTTAAAGAATGGGGGCTCAGAACATGGCCAAAAACAGGTTAGGGCAGTCAATCATGCAAGACAGGTTATGGGAGGGCTTTGCTAACAAAGGTGGTCTTGTTATGTAGATGAAAATTCATAGGTAGCAGCCCTCAAGAAGAATACATATATAGTAAATGTTTCTTTCAGACCTTTAAAGGTGTCAGACTCAGACTTTTTTTTTTTTTTTTTCAGAGGGAGTCTCACTCTGCTGCCCAGGCTGGAGTACAATGGCACTATCTCGTCTCACTGCAACCTCCACCTTCTGGGTTCAAGCGATTCTCCTGCCTCAGCCTCCTGACTAGTGGGGATTACAGACGCCCGCCACCATGCCTAGCTAATTTTCGTGTTTTTAGTAGAGATGGGGTTTCACTATGTTGGCCCAGGCTGGCCTTGAACTCCTGACCTCAAATCCGCCTGCCTCGGCCTCCCAAAATGCCGGGATTACAAGCGTGAGCCACTGAGCCTGGCCCAGTGTCAGACTCTTAATCTTTCCTAGATTGGACAAGGTAAAGCCTCAGAAAAAAAACCTGGCAGAACCAAAGCAGTTTTTCTCAACAGATGCACATCTCCACAAAAGGCAGTTCTGTAGGGCAACTTCTGTTTGCAGACCCTCCAAAGAACCATCTCAAAATATGTCAAAGAAGTATACTTGCGGATGAAATAGTTGATTTCCTTCAGCCTTGTTGGCCTAAAAGAAAGATGTGGAAGCACAATTCATAATTTAAAGAATTTATGGTCGGGCGCAGCGGCTAACCCCTGTAATCCCAACACTTTGGGAGGCTGAGGCAGGTGGATCACGAGGTCAGGAGATGGAGACCATCCTGGCCAACATGGTGAAACCCCCTCTCTACTAAAAATACAAAAATTAGCCAGGCATAGGGACATGCGCCTAAAGTCCCAGCTGCTCAGGAGGCTGCAGGAGAATCACTTGAACCCAGGAGGCAGAGGTGGCAGTGAGCCGAGATTGTGCCATTGCACGCCAGCCTGGGTGACAGTGAGATTCCGTCTCAAAAAAGAAAAAAGAATTGGGGCCAGGCACAGTGGCTCATGCCTGTAATCCCAGCACTTTGGGAGGCGGAGGCGGGCAGATCACGAGGTCAGGAGATGGAAACTTATCCTAGCTAACATGGTGAAACCCTGTTTCTACTAAAAATACAAAAAAATTAGCTGGGGATGGTGGCGGGTGACTATAGTCCCAGTTTCTCAGGAGGCTGAGGCAGGAGAATGGCGTGAACCCAGTGAGCCGAGATACCTGGTTGACAGAGCAAGCCTGGGTGACAGAGCAAGACTCCGTCTCAAAAAAAAAAGAATTTACTCGAACCAAAGTCAGGACAGCAGCTCAGAAATCTCAGGCCCAAGTAATCTTGGATATGAGCTCCACTTCCACTGGCCTTTGTTAAAAATAAGTTTTTCAAGACAAAAAAGGGGGGACAGAAGGTGGGCTGATACAAAATTTTTTGTCAAGAATTGTCATTGGTTTACAGAAATAGCATTAATTAGTTATTGGCTATACATTGTAAAGCTACGGGGTGTGGGTTACAGTGTGGGATGTGGCATTATTTGGTAAACTTATAGCTACTTATAAAAACAAGCAGTATCTAGAGATGAATACATATCTCAACGAGGGGAGTAGGTTGTGATTGTTGTCTCATTTTAGTGTTGCTGTGGGCCTGATCATTTAAAACGACTACCATTGCTCAGATGAAAGTTATTTTCTTGGCCTGGTGTGGTACCTCACATCTGGTAGCCCCAGCACTTTTGGAGGCCAAGGTGAGAGGATCCTTTGAGCACAAGAGTTTGAGAATAGCCTGGGCAACATAGTGAGGCCTCGTCTCTACAAAAAAAAAAAAGTTATCTTCTTTTCTCAGTCTTATCTCACTTGTGAGTTCTTCCCCATCCACCCTTTTTAAAATTACAGCTGTCTACCACATTCCCTCCCATCCTCTGGCAGTCATTCCCTTTATCCATTTTAACTTTTTTACATCTTCTTTACCTAAGAATATACTAAACTTTTCTTTTTCTTTGATTTTTTTGAGACACAGAGTCTCACTCTGTCACCCAGGCTGGAGTACAGTGGTATGATCTTGGCTTACTGCAACCTCCACCTCCCAGGTACAAACGATTCTCATGCCTCGGCCTCCAGAGAAGCTGGGACTACAGGCACATGCAACCACGTATGGCTAATTTTTGGGGGTTTTTTTTTTAGTAGAAATGGAGTTTCGCCATGTTGGTCAAACTGGTCTCGAACTCCTGACCTCAAGTGATCTGCCCACCTGGGCTTCACAGGCCATAGATTTTGTGTAACTTGTGTTTGTTTTTCCCAGATGCATCTTCAACCTTGGCAAAAATAAACCTGTGAATTTTTAGTTTACACTATCAGGGAGTGCAAATGAAGTATGGAGAAGAGCTTTCACTCTTCAGGGCCTGGTGATGCACCAGAAGAATCTTAAAGCAAGCTTTACTAAGTATGCTTTATCTATTTGTTTGCTGTCCCCAACATTGCCACCCCTGGAGACTCAAAGTACTTTTCCTGCGTCTTCTAAATTCTCTAAAAATTTACTGTTCTTTGTGGAAGACACTACACAAAAGCTGGAATTCAAAGCCACCTCAATGTGTACTCATTCTCTGGGTGTCATTCATGTATATGTATGTTAATACACTTCTGCTTGTTTTTCATTTGTTAATCTGTCTTTTGTTACATGGTTTGTTTCAACTAAGAACCTATGTGGGGGGTGGGAGTTGAAGGGAAAATTATTCTGCCTTTTCTCCACCTTCATCTCCTATTGTCCCCTGCTCATTCCCCATGGTCACCATGGTACCTCAGCAGTCTCCCTCCTCTTCTCCCTGAACACATCCACACAGGTTGCTTCCTCACCTCTTTCAGCTCTTCGCTGAAATACTATCTTCTTAGTAGGGTCTTCATTAGTTGCCTTATCTAAATTTCAGCTTCCCATGACACTCTTTAGTCTTATTTTTTTTTCCTTCTCACCATCTAACATATTACATATATTTACTTATCTAGCTTATTTTCTGTCTATTCCAGACTCAAATGTAAATTCCATGAGAGCAAAAATTTTGTGTTTTGTTCTCTGGGTGTATTTCCAATACACAGACCAGCATCTGGTACATTGTAAATTCTCAACCAGTGTTATTTGCAGTAAATAAAAATCAATGTTAAAGAAATATGTCATCTAAATATGTTAAAGAAAAATGGATCATATTAAATTTTTAAAAAAGAAATACTATTTGTTATGTAAGTAATGATGGCATCGTAATTTATTTTGTTATTTTTCAGATGGAGTCTCGGTGTGTCACCAGGCTGGAGTGCAGTAGCACGATCTCGGCTCACTACAACCTCTACCTCACAAGTTCAAGAGATTCTCCTACCTCAACCTCCCGAGTAGCTGGGATTACAGGTGTGCACCACCAGGCCCGGCTAATTTTTATATTTTTAGTAGAGATGGGGTTTCACCAAGTTGGCCAAGTTTGTCAAGAACTCCTAACCTCACGTGATCCACCCACATCGGCCTGCCAGAGTGCTGGGATTACAGGCATGAGCCAAGGCACCTGGCCCATTATAAGGTGTTAAATAGCAGATAACATATATAAAATAGATGAAATGATATTGAAATTGCCATTGCAAAATTGTAACTGAGACAGTCAAAGTGATCTGACCTAAGCAACTCCATCTTGCTTCTAACCTAAGCTGTCCTTGTTCATTCCTGGGTGTAGGCTGAACTACCTTTGGGAGGAACTTAGTTTATAGTTTAAAACTAATATGATAACAGCACTTTCCCAAAACAAACCTCCTTGCCTGGGGACTAGACTGCCTTTGTAGATAGAACTAACTAATTACTCACAAGATTAGAAATTACGGTTTAGGGGCTTGTCGTAATGGCTCACGCCTGTAATCCCAGTATTTTGGGAGGCAAAGGCAGGCAGATCACTTGAGGTCAGGAGTTCGAAACCAACCTGGCCAATATGAAACCCCGTCTCCACTAAAAATACAAAAATTAGCTAGGCATGGTGGCACACACCTGTAATCCCAGCTGCTTGGGAGGCTGAACAAGAGAATCGCTCGAACCTGGGAGGTGGAGGTTGCAGTCTCCATCCTGGGTGACGCAGTGAGACTCTGTCTCAAAGGAAAAAAAAAAAAACAAACACACATTATAGTTTAGGAGTCCTGCAGCTGGAACCTATAAGATTCTGACCCTACCTAAACTGCTCCTAAGATCAGTGCTTGAGATATTTTGCAGACCTGATGCTGGTACCACCCAGATTCGTAAACTGACTCATGTGATCTCCTGGCCTCCACCCAGAAACTGACTCAGCCCAAGGAGACAGCTTCGACTCCCTGTAATGACATCTCTGACCTAACCAATCAGGACTCCTGGTTCACCGGCTTCCCCCACCCAGAATGCTGGGGAGACTGATTTGAGTAACAATAAAACTAGGATCTCCCGGACAGCTGGCTCTGCATGAATTACTTTCTCTATTGCAATTCCCTGCCTAGATAACTCAGCTTTGTCTAGGCAGCGAGCAAGGTGAACCCATGAGGTGGTTTCATTATTTGCTTTACAAAAATGAATAGATAAAACACACTTAAGCCAATGTTTTTATTGAAGCTGGATGAGAGGAACATAGGTTTTATTAAACTATTATCTCCTTTCCCATATATTCTGGAATGTCAAATAAGTTTTTAAAATAAAAATATGTGAAAAAAAAATGACAAGTTGCTAAATTAATAAAGGTCATAAAGGAGGATCTGCTGAATACCCAAACAGGGCCTTGTGCTAATCTGTAAAGGAAAGGTTCTATATGCAAACAGATACCTTGATTGTATGCCAAGCAGCCCAGGATGGTATGTGTTCCTCCTTGTAACATCCCTAAAAACTTGATACTTTCACTGAAAGGACCTTGGTGTCTCAAAAAAAAAAAAAAAAACCTTACGTTAGTGTTGCCCTAAGAAATTCTTATAAAAAGCCAGGTGTTGAAAGATAGTCAAGCAAGCCAGAAAGTCTTTAGAGACCAGTATATTCTGAGGGCAAACTACAAGGAAACAGATTCAATTAGAAAACTGTGCTAAGTCTGGAGTCAAACCAGAGCTAATGAGAGTGTTAAAATTTATGTAGCAAGGAGTCTCAGCCCCAGCTGTTTGTTAGAAGCACCTGAATATTAATAATTACCATTCCCTGGGCCCACTCTACAGACTGCTATTAGTCTCATTGAACACCAGGTAAAGATTTTTCTAAAGCCTTCCCATGTGATTGTAATGTTACATTGAGAAAACTGATCTGTAAAGAAATCAAACTATTTTAGGGGATTGTTCTGTGCACTTGCTTTAGAGAACATTTCATAGAATATTTCATTCTGTAAAATAAACATACATTTTGCAAAAGCTCACTCCTTGTAACAGTTCACAGGCAGGATGCCTTTATTGATTAGACCAAAACCAACAACCTAGGCTTCCTATATCAGTGTTCATGACAATCATCTGAGGTATATACAGATTGACTCCAGCCCTAGCTGGGGATTGAAACAAGTTTCTAACAAGTTCCCAGGTAATGCCCACGCTGCCAGTAATGTAGAAGCCAATCTGGCTTTGGTTTCTGCCACCAATTTTTGATATTGAATCAACTATCGGTCAAAAATGGATCATTTCACAGAAAAGACCAAGAACTGTTTTAAAAAAAAAAAAAAGTGGGGCGGGGGATTGTAGAAATAGCTTACTTCAGACAAGAAAAAGCAGCAACCAAGGACATCTGTACCTATTCTCAACTGCCAATGCTCATTAACTAAGGTTTTAAAAGGGATTAACTACAAATACACTACGGAAAAAAACCCTTCTATAATGAGTATAAGTAGACAACGCAACTAACGCTTGAGACAAACCATGTATAACATGAACCCAGATGGCCCCTTCCACTACCAAATCGAAGCACCAAACCCCTAATAGCCAGCAAAAATTTAAAAATTTAAATTTAAGTTTAAAAAAAAAAGGACGTTGACAATCTGGCATGTTCGGGAGAAAGCACGGGAACAAATATAGCAAGCTTACCATTAACTTTAGCCAATCAAATGAGGACTTAAGTACTACAACCAACGTTCAAAGATTCGATTAGTCAATTACAGCTATTTTCGGGTTAAAGTAGGCGGCTCTTAAAAGAGCCTTTGGGTTGGAGAGAATTATTACCCAGAAACCTCTACGCTCTCTCCCCACGAATGCGGCGAGCGAGCTGAATGTCCTTGGGCATGATAGTCACTCGCTTAGCATGGATGGCACACAGGTTGGTGTCCTCAAAGAGCCCCACCAAATAGGCTTCGCAGGCCTCCTGCAGGGCCATCACCGCGGAACTTTGAAAGCGAAGATCCGTCTTGAAGTCCTGAGCGATTTCTCGCACCAGGCGCTGGAAAGGCAACTTTCGGATCAGCAGCTCAGTCGACTTCTGGTAGCGGCGAATCTCGCGCAGAGCCACGGTGCCGGGACGGTAGCGGTGAGGCTTCTTCACGCCGCCGGTGGCCGGCGCGCTTTTCCGAGCCGCCTTAGTGGCCAGCTGCTTGCGCGGTGCTTTGCCACCGGTGGACTTGCGTGCAGTCTGCTTGGTGCGGGCCATCTCAGATTAACTGGAAGAAAAACTCAGCCACTTGGCAGAGTGGCGACTGCCCTTATATATACTCAGAAACATTCTAATTGGCCTTGTTGATTTTCAAAAGTCCCGCGCAACAAAACCATTGGCTGAAGAGTCCAACGATGTGATTGGTGAATTAATGGAAAGTCTGATTGGATAAATCACTTCATTTTTTAATCCTCTCTTCTCTGTAAGTATGCGATCCAAGAGCGTTAATTTCCTAAAATTCTAATTCTGCGCTTTTCAAGCTGTAGTCCGTAAACGACTACTTTAAGACTTTGGAAGACGCTAATTCTCATTCAGTAGATGTGTTGTGGGGCCAGATTCGCCACGTTTTGAGTTTATCTGTGTGGTTTTCCGGAGTAACTTGAACTGCCGCTAGCTAGAAACCTTTGACCATTATAAGGCAGGATTCCTGGGTGGTGTACCTGGGAAATCACAAGCCAAGAAGTCACCGACATACAACAGTGAGCAACAAATGTTAACTGAATTGTATTTTGTCCCAAATGGTGTTTTGCTTCGGTTGAGAATTTTTAAAGGATAAACTAACTAGGTTTTCCAACGACTCTCATTTACTTTTCATTGGGTCCTATTGATATTCCAGGCTACCATCCCCACTAGCCTCTTCTGCAGGGTAACTTGAACATTGGAGTGGCCCTGTCCATGTAAACTTTACACAGTTTTGCAAACATTATTGAACTTGCTTCTTCCCGAATACATTAAAGCACTTACTTGCGATATCAGACATTTTCTCAGTCCTGTTCGCCTAGTCAGTCACTTGTATAGACAGGACTACAGTACGGCCTGACTATTGGGCAGGACACCGCCCTGCGCGATAGTAACATTGCCCAGCAGCTTGTTGAGCTTCTCGTGGTGGATGGCCAGCTGCAGGCGTCGGGGAATGACGCAGGTCTTCTGTCGCGGGCCGCGTTGCCCGCCAACTCCAGGATCTTGGCGGTCAGGTACTCCAGCACCGCCGCCAGGTACGTGGGCGCGCTGGCCCCCACCCGCTCGGCGTAGTTGCCCTTGCGGAGCAGGCGGTGTCCTCGGCCCACAGAAAACTGGAGACCAGCCCTGGAAGAGTGCGTTTGAGCCTTGGCGCCAGCTTTGCTGCCCTGCTTTCCACATCCAGACGCAGTGAAGTATTTAAATAATTGTTTAGAAGGAAAGTGGTTCTAGTAAAACGCAACCAGCTAACTATAATCTATATTCGGTAAAGTGGCCTGTGCTATCTCCTGAACGCAGATTTCAGCCAATCAAAAAGCAGGTGTTTAAAAAAAGTAAAAAAAAAAAAAAAACCTTCTGACTTACATAATTATAGTTGAAAGGTCAAATTACGAGGTTGAGCTTCTGGGAGAGCCAATGAGATTTAGGAATTTAGAAATGGCCTATCGTATATTCAGACATTAAAAGAACCAATCAGAAACCGAAACTCAGCAAGCCTCATTTGCATATATACGGAATAAATAACGAGGGCGTTTGGGCTCGCCAGCATTTCCCTGTGGTCATTTGACGGTGTCACTTCGGCTGCGAACATGCCAGAACCAGCTAAATCAGCCCCTGCCCCAAAGAAGGGCTCGAAGAAGGCGGTGACCAAGGCACAGAAGAAGGACGGCAAGAAGCGCAAGCGCAGCCGTAAGGAGAGCTATTCCGTGTACGTGTACAAGGTGCTGAAGCAGGTCCACCCCGACACCGGCATCTCGTCCAAGGCTATGGGGATCATGAACTCCTTCGTCAACGACATTTTTGAGCGTATCGCAGGCGAGGCTTCCCGTCTGGCGCATTACAACAAGCGCTCGACTATCACTTCCAGGGAGATCCAAACGGCCGTGCGCCTGCTGCTCCCCGGGGAGCTGGCCAAACACGCGGTGTCGGAGGGCACCAAGGCTGTCACCAAGTACACCAGCTCCAAGTAAATAGTTACCTGAGTAAAAGCGCCAACGACCCAAAGGCTCTTTTAAGAGCCACCCATGTTGTCGTCTAAAGACCTGTAATTTTCCAGAGTTGGCAAGGTAAAATGGCTAAGCAACACATGGGATAGTAAGGGTTTACTAAAACGTCCAAGTTCGGCCGGGCGCAGTGGCTCACGCCTGTAATCCCAGCACTTTTGGAGGCCGAGGAGGGCGGATCACATGAGGTCAGGAGTTCGAGACCAGCCTAGCCAACATGGTGAAACCCCGTTTCTACTAAAAATACAAAAATTAGCCAGGAATGGTGGCAGACTTAATCCCAGCTACTTGGGAGGCAGAGTCAGAAGAATCGTTTGAGCCCGGGAGGCGGAGGTTGCAGTGAGCCGAGATCGAGCCGTTGTACTCAAACCTGGGGTATAAGAGGGAGACTGCCCTCAAAAAAAAGTCCAGGTTCGTTGTTTTCTCCCCTATAGATTGTAAGCGTCACCAAGGAGTAAGTGCGTATGCAGCTTAATATGAGACATTTCACTCAGCAGCTAAGGAAAAATCGTGTTCTAGATTGATCCCCACTTTTCTTCTTCCCGCACACCACCACCTTAAAGCTATGTTTTCGCTTTTAGTTTCACTTTAACATCCTATTGCCCTTGACTTGGAGTAGCCGGGTGGAAATCAAGTTTGGGGTAGTATTAAATCTAAAATAAGCTCTGAGAAAGCGAAATTCGTCTTGTAGTTCGTTGTTAACTTGTAAATGGTTGGAGCGGCATTTGACGGAGGAAATCACCTCTGTTGGTTGCATTTCTAAACCATGGCAGATCGCTACCAGACGTTCTCATATCCCCCTTCCAACTCTACTAATTTCTTTACAAATTTTACTGAGTTTATAATTAATGGATTACTTCACGTAGCTATATATATTACCTCTCGGCAAGATCAGGAACTCTACCATCTTCCTAGCTGAACATATTGAGGTTTAAGAGAAAGAACAGGCAACAGGATAGCCTGAAGTTGGAGCAAAGAAATGAAAATTCCCGGTGCTACATTCATATGCTTTATCTGTAAGCCTTTTTAAGGCTCCAAGGACTGTGTTCTCCCTCAACCACCTCCTCCGTCTCCTGGAACGACTTTGTTCACAGCTACTTCCTTTCCTGAAATTTCATTTTAAGAGAGGAGGGTTACAAGGAATTAACATTTGTGTGGTAGTCCTTAGAATGCATTCATTCATTGATTTTTTTTCTTTTCCTACAGTCAGCTGTGAAATGGAATCTCCTCTTTTACAGGTGGATGACCTCAAGAATTTAGGTTAAGTAACTAGCCCCTTACACATAAATAAAACTGAGATTTGAAGCTACTCTATCTGATTGTAAGGATTACTTCCCACTATTCGTTAGAGAACATCCCAAGCAGAAGCCTAGTTGCTGTCACAGAAGTCAGGAAATTTAGGCTCAATTAATAAAAGAAAACTGGTCAGGAGATACACATATTCTTTGTCGCACAGCAAAGTCCTTACACCAGGAAAAGTTTCTTTTAAAAATAAAATAATATTAATGGTGACCTTTGGGCCCTAAAGATCACCTGGCAGCAAGTTTAACTTTTCTGAGCACTACATTCTGGAGGGGAAACCATGGGCATTGTCAGTGTAAATGTGAGCTCTAAAAATCTTATTTTCTATTTATTACCTACATGTCATTATCTGCAAATACCCACATAGCAGCTTACTGTGAGCATTAAGTGACCAAAATTTGTTTTTGTTTTAATTTTTTGTTTTGAGACAGGGTCTCACTTTGTCATCCAGACTGAAGTGTAGTGACACAACCACATGCTCACTGCATTCAACCTCCCTGGCTAGTGTTCCCACCTGTCTCCCAAGGAGCTGGCACTACAGGCACGCACCATCACACCCGCTTAATTTTTATTATTATTTTGTTTTTATGATTTTTGTGGAGCCAGGGTCCCACTGTGTTGCCCAGGCTAGTTTCAAAGAAAATTTGTAATGGAATTTGTGAAAAAAATTCTCTAAGCTCCATATATAACTAAGGCATTCATTTCTCGCTCTCCAAAGCTAATTTTAATTAAATTATATATTCGTGAAATATTCAAGCATGGATTAAGGGGGACATCACTCAGGAAGTGATATAGTCCTGATGGTCTGTTTCAATCCTAAGTTTGGGCAATTTATCTAATTCCTCTGTAAGCACTTCCTTACCTGTTTATTCCAAACAGGAATAATAATTAGTAACTACTGCATGACACTGCTGGAGTGACAAATAAAAGGACACAGCTAAAGCACTTAGGACGGTATCTGCACAGAGGATGACCCCCTAAATATTAACTGTGGCTAAAGCCTCTGGTTGAAATGATAGAGAAAGTGCCTTTCATCCTGCCCACAATTAAAGCCCAGAGTCCTGAGGCCTGGAATAATTAGCGTTTGATGTGAAAAGGGCTTCTTTGTCTGGCAGTGTAAATAATACTCTTTGAACAGTTCAATCCCCTCTTTAAAGCCATTGCTTTCCTCTGAAGCATTTTGAAGACATCCTACCGCCTGTGGCTGTTTGATTTCCCTATCGTTGCTTGCCAATTCAAGCAACATGTGTCATATTTTCCAGGGACTGTCTCATGCCCTCAGTAGAACTAGAGGTGCCTCATTTAATGGTCAGATGTGTTGAGTTGTAAGGAAGGAAACCTAGAAATTCACGTAAGAATTGCTTAGTACTTTTTTACTCCTTTTTTCTTCCCAAGTTTCCTATTAACTTTGCTAACCTTGCTACATTTATTTTGCATCCATTTGTTGACTAGGTTTCCCTCATATACCTCCAAATCACAGCCATGTTTTTAGATGAACTTCTGCACCTTGATAAGTATGTTCTTTAATTGGAATGTAGGAAATTGGCTGGCTGATGAGGGCCACACTTTCCTGAATCCATTGTATCCTTGAGACATAGGTCACTTCAAAGGGAACTGATTGGTGTAAATTCCTGGCCTGAAAAGCTGAAGAACACCACCTCACCACCAAAGAAGTAACATCATTTTTAGGCTCTGATTTGAGTAGCTGCTACCACTGTATTTGTCACTCCTGCAGTAAATAATTTCTGAAAAGAACCAAGAAGTTACTATCTCCCATCTACCCTCAGCAGTGTATATCTTGATGGCATTCAGAACATACTATCCCAAAATATGGCCCCTTAACATACTGAATATTTTAAGGTGAAAGAATTTGAGAAGCATCATCGGCAGTAAGGTCTCTCTGACTTTTCCCAACTCTTCTCCCCTGAAGCAGGTCATAGGACCCTCATATGAGTCCTGAGAGTCTGAGAGAAATCTGAACAAAAAGACCTTGCTAGGTTTCTGTTTCAACCTTAGCTCACAGTCTTCTTTTTGTCCTATTATATTTCTGCATGACTCTCCACTCTTCATCAAACCTAGTGTAAAAATACTCAGGTTTACCCCTTCTCTAGGTTTTCATTTCCTTATGAAGGCTCCCATGTCATGTGAAATTTATATTAAAT